TAGCCCTGAGTACTTGGCAGACAGCCAGGTCCTCGTAATGTGGAGAAGCAGATGGTCCATCCTCTCTCTTAGAGATGCACCACCACAGTTTGAGTTGACCTCTCTAGGTGAACAAAATACTCAGAAGTTAACATCATATCATCAATATAATGCAACATTCATACTGTGTCAGCTTTTGCTCACCAGGCTAGATTTGCCACCATCGTCCCATGACATATAGTTGGGTTCCATAAATATCTTTAGGGAAGAACACTGAAAGTCCATTGTTGCCCTTCTCCTGTGAAGGCATCTTGCTATTGTCTTTTTTTTTTTTTTTTTAATTAGACCCCTTGTGTTTCCTTTGCCCTCTCTGTCACATTTCTTTGGTCCACACTGTATTCTTTGCTTCCTAATCTTTTTAGTTTCTCCCTTACCAGCTACAGCCTGTGCTGCTCACAGAAGAGAAGACCCCCTAAAGGGCTCAGGATTGAGACCAGAGCTCTATAATATTGCTCTGAAGGGTTTGGAGAACTGTCCTTCATTCTTGCTGTGAATGGTTCATTGTCAGGACCAGTGTGGTTGGCTATATAAATGGCCTTCATTTTTAAGTCATCTAGGAGGTCTTGGAGTTCTTCCATCCGAGGGGTGCCATGGGTAACTCCCTCACATTGGGCAAGCATTTTTATAAGAAGTAAAAAGCAGGACGATAAAAAAGATGGCATGGTCCTCATTAACGGCTGAAAATAAATGTTATTCATTTCCCTCTCTGATGGGACTATGCCTCCAGTACCAGTATCCCAAAGCCGCAGCAGCCCTTCTGCTGCATCTTCCTTGGCTTTCTGCCTAAACTTGTTCCCAGTTCTATCAATTCAGCATCAGTATAATCTCTCATGGAGACATACATGCAACCATCAGAAGGAGACAGGTCCTCAATATTCATTCTCACCAGCTGTAGATTGAAACCCAGCCAGTGGTAGAGCAGGACTCCATTACTAGGGAAAGAAAAGAAGTTCTTATTTGGGACAGAAAACATATACCCACATGCACATATTAAACATCCTACAATAAACATAATAAATCATACGGTAGGGCAGACTATAAAATATGCCATGTCAAAGAGAAAAAAGTAGAACATACACAGGGTGAGAGGTCAGTCATAGGGAACAGGAGAGGCTGGATGGGATCTTTGAAAGTGTGGTCAGACTAGACCTCATCAAAGATGTGACATCTAATCAACACTGTGAAGCAGCCGCTCTGCCTACTTAATTTTCTCCCAAGACTTTATATAGAAGATCATAGTTGGAACTATCAGATTAGATCTTAATTATCCTGCATTTAATTTTAAACATCAAACAGTAACAGTAAGCATAGACTAAGGCTTTTTAAAAAAAAAGAACGAGATACCTAAGAGGAAGGTCAAGAAATAAAGTTTAATAAAAGAACACACTCACCTTTCATTGATAAGCATCTTCTCATTATTAAAATATTTTTTAATCTTATTTTTCTGTACACTATATATTATAACTATATAAGTTATAAGGATTTCTCCTAATTTTAAAGTATTGAATATTAATCCATAATATATATGTATCCTAATTTACTTAACTATTCTACCTCAGCTGGACATGTTCTTTTTCTGTGTTTTAAAATTCTAATAAATACTGTTATAAACATTGATCTTCATGGACTCACATAAACATGGAAATTGATTAGGAAATGGGATTCCTAAACTTTAGTCTTCATCTTTCAAATGTTTAAAATATTTTCACTCTCTTTTACATTTCAGGGTTGCAGACGAGATATCTTATTATATTTATCTGATGTTCTTTCTTTTTGAAGCAAAAAATTTAAATACATATGGTAATTTATAGTTTTTAAATTTATAGTTGCTAAAATATATGTATATATGGATATTTCTATATACAGGCTTTTTTTCAAAAATTCTCTTTAGAACTCAGCATTTTAAATATGAACATTCAAATATCATTATAGCCCATAATTAAAAAAAATATATTTCTTTGATGAATTCTTTTCTTTTTCCTCCTAAAGTTGCTTCTAGCCTACATTTTTATTTCCATATTTGATCTCCTCAATGTGTTTTTACAATTTCTCCCTCTAGGAGCAGCCTGCAGGGACTCTGACCCTGGAACACTGCCTGGCCTCCTAGGCCTTCCTTTGAAATCATGGTGGAAGCCTCCATGACCCTTTAATCCCATCATTCTGTCTTCCTGTAGAACCAGTACCACGTGGTTGTCACCAAGGCCTGCTGCTATCTGGAGCAAGAGCCAAGCTTCCAGAGACCACAGCTGCAGTAGTCTTTCAGTACCTGGGTGACTGAGGATGGGGAAGCAACTTCCTAAGCCACCCTGTGCAAGCAGGGTGCCCCACTCATCTCAAAGGAATTTTTACTTTTCTTCCCTTGAGCCTGAGATTGGTGTGATCTTGCCAAGATCTAATCTTTCTAATTGTCTCTCTCTGCAAAGTTTTTGGAGATTTGTTAGTAGTTATAATGTCTATAACAACCACATATTCCATAGTCCCAGTTTTACTCACAGTTTTCTGGTGGGAACTGCAAATTTTTCAAATCTTTCTGTTCCTGATTATCATAATAAACTTGCTGAAAGCTGCCAGTAATATCCATGCTGCTTTCTGAATGCTATGCTGCCTAGACATTTCTTCCACCTGATTAAGAAACACCTCACCTTTAAATTCAGCCTAACAAAGTCTTAGGACTTGGGTAGAATGTAGACAGCTTCTTAGTTAGAACATAACATGAATGCCCTCTGGTCAAGTTATCAATAGTTGTCTTCCTTTTCCTCTGATAGCTCACGAGCCCACCATTGGGTATCCACAGTCCCATCAGCATTCTGGTCTTCTGAGCTCCTATCAGAATCGAAAGCTTTTCAAGCTTGCTTGTCTGAACTTTTCAAAATTCCTCCCACAAATTTCAGAAAGCTTCTGAACTACATGATCAGGTTAGTCAAAGCAATGCCCCCATTTCTCCGTACCAATTTCTGTTTGAGTCAGCTTTTTTTGCCACTGTGACCTAAAGACCTGACAAGAACAATTAGAGGAGAAAAAGTTTATTTGGGGGCTCACAGTTTCAGAGGTCTCACTCCATAGATGGCTGATTCCATTCCTCAGGGCTCAAGGTGACGCAGAATATCATGGCAGAAGAATGTGGCAGAGGGATGTGGCTCAGAACACGAAGACCAGGGAGCAAAGAAAGAGAACTCTCCTCACCAGGACAAAAGGTAAACCCCACCTTCTCCAGCCACACCCTACCTGCTTTCGGTTACCACTGAGTTAATCCTTAACAGGGAATTAATTCACTGATTGGGTTAAGGTTCTCATTTCATCTCTAAACCTTCTTTCATTGTCTCACATGTGAGCTTTTGCTCATAATTAACAAACGCGCATGCGCACACACACACACATGCACATACAAACACACATTTTAATAGAAGGTCTGTTAAATTAAGTTTCTATTGTTGATTTTTCTTTTGCTTCTTGGTTTTCAATGGATTGTTGTACTTTTTCTTGCTGATTTTAAGCTCCTTAAGTAGTAAAAGATCAGATGTGTTCATTGTATGCATTGCAAATATTTTTACCAGTCAAATGCTTAACGAGTTACATACAGAAATTCTTAATTCTTATTTAGTCAATTTGGTCAATATTGTCTTTTATGGTTTCTGAATTTGGGGAATTTTTAGAAAAGACTCTCCTGTTTCATAATTCCTTGAATGTTATTATTTATTTTATCTAAAATTTTCTTGTCAGCATGTTTAAAAAGCTTAAATATTTAATTCATTGTGGAATTGACTTTAATGGAAGAAGATAAAGCTCCAAAATGCCTATGCATGTACCAACTTAATTTATTAACAAGTAAAGTCATTTCCCCTGCTATTACACTGTTTTATCATAAATTGAATTGTTGTATGTGGTTAGTTTCTTTATTCTCTGCCATTGAGCCTATGTATCTCAATGGCTAATCTAAACTGTTTTAATTATTTTGATATTATAATATATATATATTTAATATCTGCTGAAGCTAGTCCTATTCATTATATATATATATATTTTTTTCCATGTTTACTTTCCACACAAACTTTAAGATCAAATTGGCTTTGGGAAAAAAAAAAAGAAACATGTTGGTATTTTTTTTATCGAGATAGTTTTGCTCTCAAATTTATAGAATAGTTTAGGGAGCCTTAATATCTATTAGCTAAGAGAAGTATCTCTACTTGTTCCCCCATTTTTCCTCCTTTCTTCATAACATTGAGCCTTTGATAATTTTTATTTGCAAGAAAGAAAAATTTATTTTTTTAGATGAGAGCTTTAGAGTTGGTTCCCTTTGATTTTCACATATCCATCCCATTTGATAATAATTTTGCTTCCCATCCAGAAAAAAAAAAAAACTTTTTCCTTTCTCTTTTCTAATTGCATAGGCCAGTAACTCCAGAATATCGTTGGACAATAGTGATGAGTGTGTACATTCTTGTTTTGTTTTGCTTTCCCTTGCTCTACTGGCATGCTTTCAATACGTATTTAATAAATAAAACATTTTATCAGCTTTCAGAAAAGATACCAGACAGTTTCTGTACTTTCCAATTCTGGATTTTCTTTACTCTCATTCTTTGTACAATTAGCTTCAACCCTGAAAATTCCCTTCATTTGTTTAAAGATTAAAAAAGTAACGTTCTTTATCTATTGCTTATGAAGGACAAAATAGTGCTGGAGGGCAGGCAGGAAAAGGAGCTGGTCAAACACCATAGCAGCAGCCCAGGCAGAGGGTTAGAAAAAGTTCCTTCAGGACCAGGCCGTGTCCTCAGTCACTCTACAGAAGGAAGCACGGCATCGTGGGGAGGAGTCGCGCCTCCCCGCCCTCTGCCCCCTGTTAGTGCCACCCGCGGAGATGAAATGTGAGCCTGGGTGGCCCGGACGCCAGAAGAGCCGCCTCTCTCCAGTGCAGTGGGGAGGGACAAAGAGTCCTCAGCCCCCAGCGCGTCGGGTGCTGGCCGCCGCGCCCCCTCCCGGAGCCCGCACCTCTCACGCCACGCCACACGCCGACAAGCTCTCCTCGGAGGTTGGCCGGGCCATGGCCAGGTCCCCGCTTGGCCGGGCTCTCAGGAGCACTGCTCTCTCCGTCTGACCGCACTCCATCCTCCCGTGCCCTCCGGTACCGCGCGCTCCTTGAACTCCAGCCTCGGTCCACACCGTCCGTCCGTGCGTCCTGGCGCGCAGTCTCGGGCCACCGGCTTGGATGGACGCCCTGAGGCTGCCCGGGCATCCAGGGGTCTTGCTTCCGAAGTTGGTCCTGCTTTTTGTCTACGCAGGTCAGTGAGAAGGTCAGGCGGCGGGAGAAGGTCAGGGGTCTAGGGACTGTGATCAGGTCGCCGTCTGGGCAGACGCCGGCTGGGCAGGACAGAAAAGGACCTTTGTAGCCAGCAGAGCTTCTGGAGTCCCCGCGAGGCGACAGCAGGAACCAGCTCGCTTGAGCCCTTTGCTCTGCCTTTTGTTTTTGTATTTTTGATTTTTTTTTTCTTTAACTTTTCTAGTTTGCTTTTTTCCCTTCTTTTTTTTTCTCTCTGCCAAGCAACTTGGAATCCACATTCCGGTACTTAGGGGATTTCACTCTAAGCAGGACAAAGTGTATCAAGGATTCAAGGGAAATCTGGGGCGATGGCGGAGACTAAGGGGTAATGGGAAATCACTTTCATAAAAGCATCTGAAGCAAAGAAGTACTGCTAAATTTAAAAATAATGGAATTTGGTGAATTTCCCATTTTGTTATGGGTAACTCATGGCCCCTTCTAACTCCCACTTTCTAAATATTCCGTGGTTTTTTTTTTCTGTTAGAAATAAAAACCCTTACACTTTTGCTTTTGCTCTTTAGGAGAGTCACAAGTATTGAAAGCTAGACAATTGAATGCTCTGACTTAAACATACAATTTTTGAGAGGCACGAATTCACCCAGAGTCTAATCTGTTTTCTTTGATGTGGTTAAGCACTTGTACGTGAAGGGCATCTCATTTTCCTCCTTCCATTTACTCTTAGTGAGAATTGCAAATAATTAATGAAGCAAAGTGGGTTTTCTTGTTTTGTGATTGATACAGAGCCCTAAATGGCCTTTCCATTGGTTATTCAAGTAGAAAGTTAATTACATATGTGGTCCTTGCATCTGTTTGGTTCACAAAACTGTGCCAGAAAAAAGCAAGTTCTTTGTAAAATGTTTTCATGTCTCTAAGTTCCTATGACAAAAATCACAGTCTTACCCATGACCTTGAAATGCTAAGTGTATGAATAACATTGCAATTTACCTTTTAAGATTTAAAAAATTCTGTCATTGGAATGAAGATGCTCTTCTACTTTGTTACCTGAGAACCAAGGGAATTGAATTCCTTATCCAACTTTGACAGAAAGGAGTCAGAATAACTTTAATAGAAATTTTTGATCTGTTTATTAAAATGCAAAACTTGTTTTATTGTAGGGGAAATGCTGACTTTCTAATGTAGAAATTCATAGAAGTAGAAAAGTCTACTTCTATGAATCTAACATTTTAATCGGATTGCAATATTCATTTTATTTTTAAATCCTATGAGGCTTTCCATATTTGATGGAGTATCAATTGCACTAATGTTAGTTTTATTTAAAAATCTCTTTATTAGTTCATTGGAAGTAATGATGATTCTTTCTCCTCCTCTGCTTATCAAAAGAAAATAAAAATACGAAAATAATAAACAAATGAAATTTGCTTAATCCTTGCTTGCCCTTACTCAGCCACTTCACTGAACCAGGTTTTTCTTATTCTTGTGTGTATTTTATGCCCTTGGTGGAATGAAAGTTTCTACTTTGCACCCCTGTCCTCTTCCTCTACTTTTCTCAATGCTAGGTCTCCAGTTCCCCAGGACTCAGGAAACAGCAAGGCTGGCCGGCTGCAAGGTTTCTTCCTATGGATAGCTGTCACTCCTTCTGTTTCTGTGATTCTCAATCTACCTAGTAAACTACGAAGTAATTGCAAGCCAGTACTAGGTTGTCTTTCATGAGAAATATTTAGTTAATGAGTTCTTTGGTGTTGATTCCTGAAATTCTTATTTCAAGACCTTTTTAAGCTTGCCCTATTTATTGGAAAATAAGCACAGGTCATGCTCTGAATTTTTTTCTGGGCAAGATCTTCAAAGAATAGAGAAGCCCCTGACAAAAGGAGATGGGTTAGGGCATATAGTGGGAACAAAGGCATAAACAATGAACTGGATATGTTCAATGATGGATAATTCCATTTGGTTAGAACTAAGATATAAAATTGGAAGTGTCTGTTGGGGCTAGATGCCAGAAAACCACAGAAATAAAAATATTCAAACAGTGTGGTAAATTACCAGTTTCTTGGGACAAAAACCAAAGTAGATAAACCACTTATCTTCTGAATTATTTTCTGCAAAATGAATGCATTAAACTCCACCTTCCAAGCCCAGCACGGTGGTACACACCTGTAATCCCAGAGGCTAGGGAGGCTGAGGCAGGAAGGTCTCGAGTTCAAAGCCAGCCTCACCAATGGAGAGACACTAAGCAACTCAGTGAGACCCCATCTCTAAATAAAATACAAAATAGGACTGGGGATGTGGCTCAGTGGTCAAGTGCCCCTGAGTTTTATCCTTGGTGTCTCCTCCCCACTCCTCCAAAAAAAAAAAAATCCATATTCCACGTGGTTTTGCAAATAACAGCAAGGTTTCTATACCTGAATTCTCATGGTTTACCCTCAGGTCACCTTTGGAAAGATACCCACTGTAGTGTTTATATTATTGTCCAACCCCCACTGCAGGCTACAAAGACAGGATTTGGTCAAGATTTTACCTTCTGGGCCACAGGCAGTGCCTTCTATCCCCTCCCTTTCCTTCCTCTCTTGTCCTTAGCTATAGCTTGCAAATGCCATTTGCAAGCAAGTGCTTCAAGCCAGATATGGCTTTTCCTGTACTGCACATTCCTTAAGGAGGGGTGCAGGGTGAGTAGGGGAACCTTCTTCCACATCATGCCTTTAATTAAAAACCTTTGAAGAAAGTTTGAACTGGCTAATTTTCAGGGATATTAACTTGGATATTAGAAGTGATATTATTTATCTTCCAAGGACAATTCGAATATTCCATTCTCTCACAAGTGAGAAAATGACCCTGTACAGTCCAGAGTCGGATCTTCATAAAATTATCCTCACAATCAGCCAGAGAAAGCAATTAACATCACAAAATGAGCTTTAAGGTATGATTGAAAACTCAGTTAGGCAAGGTCATGATTGTGACTGTATTTGCCCTTTTCAGTAGTAGCTTAATTCTGGGAAATAGACAAGAGTACTGGAAAATGCCATAAAAATAATGGACAATGTGTGACATGATCTAGATGTTTACTGCAGGTATAATTCAGTTTCTTGGCTACAAGATTTGGGGCTTGGTTTCCTGTAATGTTGGCTGAAAATATTTTGATAACACCGTGTTCTTATGATAGTAGTAATTGGAGTGCAATGTTAGTAATTGAATCTTTGATATTCATGGAGAATTTTAGAGGGTTTCACTGCCCTGGGCATCATTCAAAAGGCACCTGTGAATTTTCTTACATATTGGTATCTTCCTCTGACAAAATAGTGAGGACTTGGCTGTCTCTTGATTTTAGTGGTTTTTAAGAACATGAAGCAATGTATTCCTGCTAAGTCCAGAGAAAATTGACAAGTCTAAAATTTTCAACAAATTGAACAGGCCTAAAAATGAGAGCTACAGAAAACTCATGGAGAAAATTATAAAATAAGTAGTCTCGAAAAGTGTGGTATCCATGAGGACTGGAGCTGTAGCTCAGTGGCAGAGTGCTTGCCTAGCTTGTGTGAGGCACTGGGTTCAATCCTTAGCACCACATAAAAATAAACAAATAAAATAAAGGCATTATGTCCATCTACAACGACAAAAAATATTCTTAAGAATGTGTGACATAGTTTGCAAAAAATAGGGATGATTAATACATTAGCTTCTCCCTTGGATATAAATAATACCGTGTTTCTCTCTTTGAAATTTAAGAGTGGATTTCAGTAGAGTTACTGAAAACCTCAAGGTTCATAATTATTAATCTGTAATGTAGAAATAAAATTGAGGGAAAGATAATATGAACTTTCTTACTTGTTCCACAAAATTCATGCATTATTAATGAAGGCAGATGAGCTTTGAGACCTGAACAGGTCCCTTTGTAAAGAACTATTTTAGCAAAGAGGGGGTTTAAAACCAGTCTAAACTTTCTTTTATAGATAAATGAATACAGGGATGTGTAGACAAAAATATAATGTTTTATACTTTAAATGTTATAACTCTTAGGAACACAAAAATTTTGTATAACTTATATAATAATGTTATCTTCAAGGATTGAGTTGAAAATTACTCATTTCTTGATTCTTGAACACATAACTTAAATTATCAGACTATTTAATGTTTTTCTAATCATATATCTGAAATTCACACATCCATTATAATTTATTTTACTGGTTATAACTCAGTGATAATCTTAAACTGTTGGATATAAATCACTTCGGTAGAATAAAGAATTTCAAAAGCTAGTGTGATTTGTACTCAATATTTCTGGTATAAATTTTACTTATTGAAGAATACATTGAAAAAGTAGCAATTTGGTTTTGTTGACTCCCACATATTCTTTTAATCCCCAAACACCCTTTTCCACTTTATACTTGCTGTTTCAAAACTTATGAGTTCTTCCCTGTGATATTAAACTATTAATTATTCACAAATTAATTATCTGAGTGAACTCTTTGTATAACTAACTCATCACCTTCCACCTCATTTGTGTTTTGCTGTATGTATGCAAACTGTAATTATGAGGGTAAAAATAGGTGTTAAAGGAAAAACATATAATGCATAGTCATGTCAGTTATACATTGATTTTAGATTGTCACTCTTTTGGTATGACCCCCTTTCAGAAACACTTTCCATTAATTGAGGCTGAGAATGTAACATCCTAAAATCAGAAAACCATCAATTAAAAACATAAGAACTTTGTTGACAAATGAAATGGCTGATTAGTTGGCTCATTCATTAATTTCTCCCTTCATTATCTCAGTGAATCAACACGCCCTACCAATGATTGTGCTTAGTGCAGGAGATTCAAGAATGGTCTTGGCCTTTATCAGCCCGGAGTGTGACTATTAAGAAAGGCTAGTTTAGACTCTTGCACATGTTATGGGATCCACAGCATGACCATGAAGATACAAGTGTACTGAAAAAGTGATTGTTGACCTACTAAGATATGAATTTGATTTCACAACCCTAACTGCTTTTGTGGTTTCTGTTGTTTAGAGGATTGCCTTGCTCAGTGTGGCAAAGACTGCAGATCCTATTGCTGCGATGGGACCACGCCCTACTGTTGCTCCTACTATGCCTACATTGGGAACATTCTCTCGTGAGTACTGCTCACTTTTGGCAATATTGATGTTGTTGGGTTATGTTTTCAAGCATACTAAATTAAAGATACGGCTTAAAAAATTAAAGATCAGTTGCTTATTTTGATAATGGGGATTGAACCCAGGTGCATTTTACCACTGAGTTACATCCCAGCCCTTTAAAAAAAATCTTTTAAATTTATTAATTAATTTTTTTGTGGAACTGGTGATTAAACACAGGTGCACTCCACCACTGAGCTTCCTACCCAGCCCTTTTTATTTTACTTTATTTTTTATTTTGAGATAGGATCTACCTAAGTTACTGAGGATCTTGCTAAGTTGCTGAAGCTGGTCTTTAACTTGCCATCCTCCTGCCTCAGCCTCTCAAATTGCTGGAATTCCAGGTATGCACACCACACCTGGCCCATGTGGGAACTTTTGGTGTGATGGGGATATTTCACACCATGCTGTGGTATATTAAATGACTATACATAAGTCAGTGCTTGGAACTATCCATTTACAATTGGTACATTTTATTGTAAAGCTGCCTCAAAATGGTAGATGAGAAACATAATATAATTGGTTATTAGCGTAAAATCTTTACTGGAGATATTAAGCACTCATCATTACCTAGTATTTTGTATTATTTGACAAAATGGACAAGTTAGTATAAATTGAAATTAGAAAAGAGTTAAAAATGATAGTTTTAGGGTTGGAGATAAAGCTCAGTTGGTAGTAGTGCTTGCCTCACACACACGAGTCCCTGGGTTCAATCCTCAGCACCACCAAAAAAAAAAAAAAAAAAAAAAAAAAGATTGCTTTGTTTCTTAATTATGTGTACTAAATAATGTTTTAAGTAGATCTTATGTAGTTTAAATGTTGTCCATGATATGTTTTCATCTGCTGTGATGAAGGATTTATAAGTCAACATTTGTTATTTAATTATGGCAGGTTTATTTTGCCATCCAGGTATTAATTTGTCTAATGCATCCAGTAGATATCAGGGGAAAGAGAGATTATGAATAAAAAGCTGTTGAGATACAAAATATCAATTCTCTACATAATACTCAGAAAACAGTTTCAGGAAGAAAGTTTAGAGGCCAAGATAAGATATGAGTGAATAGTGTAAAAACAAACCACACACATATGCACACACACAAACACATCCACACACATTATGAAAACAGGTACCTGCAGGAAGTGTTAAGTATTTCACCATAACAAGTTAAGAATGTATTTTAGAGCTGCTTCCAAACAAAGGGAAATGAGAAACCAGGACCTGCCTTCAGGATTGAGCTTTTGGAAGAGTGTGGGTCAGTCCTCTGCGCGTTAACTGAGATAAAGAAGGTAGAGAATTAGAAGTTAAAAATTTTCTTGAGTCAAAATCCCCATGGCTTTCAGATAGTAGCAGTGGTCTGGCTGCCTACCTCTTGTTTTGCTTTTCAAGTGAATAATGTTCCCAGTCTGCTTAACTCGTGCCCTTTGAAGACCAAGTGGAAATGGGAAATATTAGGCGCTAAGTCACCTTGCCCAGCTATTTTAGGGATGTGTCCATTGAGCAGGCTTATAACACATCCTCCATTTCCTGAAAATAGAAAACCTGGCACCACAGAAACTTTCTAGAACCAACACTGGGGATCATATTCTTTTGAATATGGCTTTAAAAAAAAAGTCATACTTTCAGATACTTTTGAAGACCATGCACAAATGTCAGATCGAAATAAAAATAATATATGCAATTTAAGTATTCTTTGAAATGCAAATAAACTCTAAATGAATATTTGAATTTTCCCTCATGGAAGATTTGGTAGGAAAAGAGAGTTAAGCACATCTTCTACCTTAGAAAACTGTCAGAATGATTTTCACATGAATTTATCAGTTGCTGTTTACAGTTGTATATTTTTAGAATTTAAAGTAATTTAAAATCACTTATTAATAAATTAGAAATTTATTTTTGAGTAATCTCCACATGCCAGATGGTACTGTTTCAGGTGAAACCAGCAGATAATACAGATTTGGGGACTTAGATTCAGAGATTCTGGGATTGTTTAGTCTTGTCTCCTGGCCCATCTCTCTGTCCACTAATTACATTGTGGTGTGCATAGTGCCCCTGTTTCTCACCTTATAGCTACTTGCGCTCTGGTAAATATGCATAGAACATGTAATTACTTATTAATCAGTATATTTTTTAAATTTAAATTTACAAATGTGCTTTATGTGTGATTTACATTTGCAATCAAATCCATACTCTGATGATGCAGGCTCTAACTAATTTCACCTTTTGATTACAGTAAATCATTAGTTGCATTCATGTATTTATTTGGGTTATTAGGACCATGTACTCATTATGTTTAGGGAAAAAAATAATTGTGTTTTGGAAAGGAAAATAAACACAGATGGCATTATATTTCAGGCAGTTAAAATTGAACTTTCTGTTCAAAATAGAAGCCATTGACTGTATCCCTTGCTAAACAATTTCTAGCCAAAAAAAGAAACAGAGAGAGAGAGACTTTAAAGTGTTTTTCCCTACTGGATAAAAAAGAATGCATTTTCAGGATTTCCAGTTATTGTTTAACATTTGAAAAGAGTTCTTAACTCCACCCAAAGCTTTATTTTATTTTTTTAAGTTGTGGGAGGGTGGGAGAGGTGCAGTAGTTAGAAAATAATCAATTCTAAGAATACTTCCAAGAGTCTCTTTCATGCACAATATTTTCAAATATTGCCATTTTGGAACTCAGAAAGTATGCTCTTCCTCTTTCAAGTATCCAGACCACATTCCTGGCCAAAAGAAAAAAAAATCAGTTTAATGATCTTAACAGAAAGTTAAATTTTTGTGGTTATCATAAAAGTAATAAAGAAAAAAAGCAATGTACAATAAAATGTTAGATATTTTAAATGATTAATTTTATAATTTACTTTATTTTTCATTTATTTTCAAAGTAAAAATATTGGATAAGTTTAAAATGAGCTAAAAAACAGTAGAGAATATACTTTGACATATTTTGGACTGTTCCTAAGTTGGTAAAGTTTGGTTCACATGACTCTTCTGGCTGAGGCCACCTGGAAGCCAACCGAGTATCAGAGTTGAGAGATATTCAGCCCTTGATTCTGTTTACTTCATCTGATTTCACTCTTTTGCAAACTAATAATTAAGATTCACTTTTAAAGAAATTATAGGAGCCGACTTCCATTATTTTTTAGTTGAAAAGTTTTCTTTTACTCAGTTTCCCCCATCTTTTAGGATATTTTCTATACCAAACATGAGTTACATTGGGCAAATAAATTCAGGACCCACACCTCAATTTTGTTTCTTATTTCCCTGAGGAATTTTTAAATTTACTTCTGTCTCCTGAAAAACTTTCAAAATTAAACTTAAAAAATAGAATACCTACTTTTGGTCCTTCCAGTCACAGATACTGACTTCTATATAGGAGAATAATGTTATCTTCCAGAATTTAAGAATAATTTTTACACTCATTGGCATATATTATTTAATCAGTTAATTATTTATAAATGCACATAAAGGGCCTATTACCGGGCATAGCTGGACAAGGTCTTGGGGTCCAAAGATGAATAAATGATACATCTTGACTTCTAAGACCTTGAAATCTAATAAGATAATGTAGCCAAATAATTTTTGAGGTAATCCATGAAGTGTTATTTAAGGACCAGAGAGAAAACAGCCCAGCCTGCTTGTGTGTATGAGTCTGAGTGTGTGTATGTATGTGTGTGTGTGTGTGTGTGTGTGTGTGTGTGTATTTAGAATGAAATGTTTAGAGAAGCGTCAGAAAAGGCATTTGATCAGAGTTTTGAAGGAAGAGTAGGAATTTGTATAGATGCACAGTGAAAAAAGGGAAGTGTATTCCAGACAGAGAGGCTCCTATATACAAAGGCATAGATAAAAGGAAGGAAGTGATCAGTTGGGAAAACCCCATGTTATTCAGCTTAGTTAAAGGGGGAGGTTAAAATCTGACTATATCATGGGAATAACTGGGTCAGATACAAGATAGATTCTTTTTTAAAAGTTAATTAATTTACTTTTACATACACGACAATAGTGGAATGCATTACACTCATTATTACCCATTTACAGCACAATTTTTCTTAACTCTATATAAAGTAGGTTCTTGCCAACATACTTTTATTGGCCATTCCTACCAAAATTCCAAAGAAATAATTCAGTCTTTTTCTGATAAAACTAGCCATCTGGTTTATGCAGGAAGCATGCATTCCTAGACACCACTTAGAACCCTACACAAAGGTGAGCAGGCTCCAAGCTTTTATTTACTCCGTAGATGAAAAGTTTAGAATGTAAACTTTAAGGTGTTAGATTATTTGGAAGATTTTATATGACAAATGTGCAACCTTGTAATTTTTTCTTAAATTTAAGAGATTGTTGACCAGGAGGACAATTACTTGAACATTTAGAAGAATTTGGTATGCTTAAAAATGAGAATTTGGGCCAAGTTGAGAAATAAACAATTTACCACCAGATTGATTCTCAAACATTCATTCAGCAACTCTTCTCCATGAAAGATGAAATACTCTGTGATGAATATGAAAAGGACATTTACATTTTTGCTGCTGATGGAATTTAATTGATATTTCCTGGAGTGTGGATCCCCAGTAAAGACATAGTGTATGAAATAGTTTTTAAAATTGGTAGAAGTCAGGGGAAGAAACAGTGCATCTGAGTGGCTAATTACTGTTATCTAATGGGACAAAATAAAAACAGGACTGTCCTACAAATTAAAGTATTCTGCCATGTGAATAAGAGAATAATTGAATAATTTTAAATATGAACTAGAATTTGACTGTTTTGGACACAGTAAGCCAGATGAAAAGATATAGGTTTTAATTCACTAACCCAAAAATAGATTTTAGCTTTTCTAATTTGCCATTGTGAAATGCTGATCTGTCTAAGGATTCTTCAGAGCACCATCTGGTCATCATAAAAATCCCCATGGGGAAAAAAAAAAAAAACAAGAGGAAGAACTAATAATGGAGATCCTGGTGGGAT